AAGATGAGATGGACACTGTCTATCCGGAGAGGAGTCCACCTTTGCACTTGAGGTAAAATGGCCACTCATGCGCTTGAGTGTTTTAGGACTATCATAAATGGGTAATCGGTCATTATTGTTGCTGCCCTCAGGGGAGTCCCTGTAGCTGAAACCAAGGCATTCTGAGCCAGATGCATGCTGTTCCAGGTCGTGCACATTCTCGTAGAGATGGTCTGAGGGCTGGGCTCCTTGCTCTTGGGACTCCATCTCTGTCTTACCCCAAGGCTGAAACATGAGAGGAAAGTTCTTGCCAATGGAAGCGTAGATGATGGGTGGTTCAGGAGACTCAAGCTCTGGGGAAACAGAGTGGTTTTCGCTGGAGAGGTTAATTTCCATGCTCCCCTTTGGAAGGGGTTGCATTTCGTCCAAACTCTGTGTGCCAGAGGGCCATGACCATAGCCCAGCTTTCTGCATATTGTCGTGGGATTGAGAAACCCCAACTTTCTTATTGTCCTCCATAAGGATGGCCTTTTGATGCTCTATTGCAGCTGAGACAGCTTTGCATATTTCCGCAGCCTGTGAAGTATTAAAAGTGAAGACGCCCTCTCCTGAATCACAGCGGCGACCTGCCTCAAAAGAGAAGACACTCTGAGGAGAGAGAAGAAAAAGAAAACTTCAACAGTTATTCTTTTAGGGTAATTGCTAGCACTCAATCTGTCAATCGTTTATTTACTGGACTTAGTTGCTGCTTGACTCCACTCAACTCAGGGCATATGAAACCATAAAACCAAAATAACAAATATACAATAAAAATGGAACATTAAATAAGAGGGCAAATCTGGTCAGCAAAGCAAAACAAAATATCATACACCAGGTAAGGGGCTCCAATCACCTAGCCCAGAACCTAGAGAAAAACCAGGCCTTTAAAAGCCCTCTGAAATATATCAGGGCAGGAGCCTCATTCCAGAAGGAAGGTTCCAAAACACAGAAGGTATGCTTCCAGGGTCACTATAGATGGCACTGATCAAAGGAATCAGGACCCCAATGGATTAAATTAGCCAAGATGACACCAGAAGAAAAAGGCAATCCCTCAGATAACTTGACACTATGTCATATAAAGCTTTAGAGGTCATCATGATTTCCTTTGTTCAATTTTGCCAATAACTACAAAGATTTTCAGGTGATGCTCAATCTCATCTCAAATCCATGAAAAGAGAACCATAAAATATCAGCTGCTGAAATCAGTATCTGTCTTATGTGGAATCAGATCATTGATTTTATCATATATTCAAAATAATCCCATTTCACACTTATGGGGGACATATATCTCAGATCCTCTTCCAGAGACCTGGGAGTTTGAAGGTTCTGCACAGTATTTTAGCTGCTCCTCGCACTTTACTCTTCTGGACAGAGAGTTCTGGGTTTGTTCCTGGGATCTAGTTCCAGTTGGAGCTACTCTCCCAGCTTAAGAGTCACAGCCCCTAGAGCTCCTACCGTCACTTTGGCCTTTACTTTCTATATCCTCTTCAGTTCCCTCTTCAGGCCCTGTACTTCTTCAGCTTCTCATACTTAATGATATTCCTGTCATTTGGTACAGCTACATCTATCATCACTGCTGTCTTCTGCTCCTTCTCTACTTCTAGGATGTCTAACTAGTCAGGACCTGATTGCCAATCTGGATCTCAAGAACTTGACCCTGACCTTCTGTGGAGTCCCCCATCTGGACTTGGGAGGGTCTAACTCATACGCTGCAGATGCTTTTGTACACAATGCCAGCTACTTGCTTGTGCTGTTCAGTATATGCTGTTCCTGCCTAGATCTCTCTCTCTCTCTCTCTCTCTCTCTCTCTCTCTCTCACACACACACACACACACACACACACACATTTGATGTCCTAATCTGGTCTACTTGAAGGACTGACAACTCTCTCATGTGGTACAAGAAGTGAGGAAATCCTCCATGTGTGATGTTCTTACTGTAAGTCTTTTCTGCCATAAACAAAGAGAGGACAAAGAAGCAGTTATGTACCTTTTCCTGGCCAAATCTTCGGAGGAAAGTATAAGGCCAGTTATATTGTATTTGTCCAGACTGCACATCCTTCAGGACCAGTTGCTCAGCTAAAGAGACCATCAGGTAGTTCCCTTTCAATTGACACCTTGCAGAAGCCTCTGTTGGAAATACACTCACTGGGAACTCGCAGACTGTTGGGAAAAAAATATTAGACATATTATTTATTTATCTAAGAATCTTTCTTAATCCTTTGCATAATCCTTCAATGGTGATTGCATTAGTATCATTTTTTTAAGAACCATGGATGTCTCAAGTTTTAAGCTTTCTCATTTTGTGGTGACTATTTGGGTTTGACAACCTGAACCAAATTTATTTATTTAGTTAAAGACTTGGTTTATGTACCGTCACATTAGACAGCTCACAGAATAACATTAAAAGCTGGTGGAAAATAAACAGGACATCCTTGAAGAACAAAGGAAAGCGATCAGCTCCAGAGACCAGGAAAAGCCTAACTGATAAAAATACTGACCTGGAAGACTTAAGTTTTAAACCCAGACTACAACTATGGATTCACTTTTAAAAGTAGAATTTGCGACACTATCTCCTGGGTGGAAGATATTCTGGATGCTTATGTTCTTGTTTTGTTCCATAATGATGCTTGCTGTTTGAGAATCTTTCTTAGCATTGACACAATGGGGAATCAGAAATGGACTAACAAACCAGAGTACTGGAACATGTTTCACAATGGTAAGCAGGCCCTTGACATGGGAAGATGGCACTCCTGTTAGCTTGGATGGGACCAGGACAAAAATTAATTTGGTTGAACTTAAGTAAAATTAAAAATATGTTAAATTAAATTAACCTATAATCTGATGGCAGCTTTGGGTGAAAAACTGTGATCAATAAGCATAGCTTTGGGGCCAAAGCTTCCATTGTTTTAGAGCAACCTCATCTATAGCAAGTTGTTAAGCTTGACTTTCTCCAGAGGGTTTTTCTTTGGTCAGCCCAAATGAGTGTTAACCCCTTGAATGCCCTGGCTGGCTATAGGTCCTTCATCCCAACCTTTGGGCCGGTATACGTACTTTCCTTCCAGGATGAGTAGATGGAATTCTCCTCCATTAGAGGTTGAGAGCTTGAGGTGCTTCCAACTGGACTGGACTGGGAAGGTCTTCTCTGCATGCACCAGAGCAAAAGGAAAGAAATGAGAGGGACCCTCAGATAATTCCAACAATGGAATTTTTTAAGAAGAGATTGGAAAACCATTTGTCTGAAATGGTATCCTGCCTTAGCAGCGGGTTGGAGTAGAAGAGCTGCAAGGTCCCTTCCAACTCTATTATTCCAATTATAAAAGCAAATGAATGGCCTCTTTATCACAACTTGACCACCTTTTATCACCATATCCAGCAACCCTTGCTGTAACTTATTATTTGATATGTTTACATCCCACCTTCCTCCAAAATTTCAAGATCCTCTCTCTGTTATTGTTTCCACCCACCAGCGAAATAAGTTGTCTGAGATCACTGAGATCAGTACTGATTTGAAACTGGTCTCCACGGTCCTAATGCAACCCTCTGACTATTCCAATGACTAGTCCATGGTTGGGACAACCATGACCTGGATGACTGAGAATTTCCATAAACACTCTACTTAGCTATACTGGATCTCTTAAGAGAACCTCTTAAGAGTTTTGGCAGCAGAGCTTCATTTTTAAAAATTGAGAAGTAAAATAAAAGAAGTAGATGAAGAGCATCCATTATTATAGCAGTCTCCTCCAAAAACTCTTCATGCAATGTTTCAAAAAGCTACTGAGAATGGAATCCTGAACTTTTAGGGTTGGAAAGTCATTCATCCAATCTTCCATGAATAATATAACAGCAATCTTGGGGGAGCAATGCCATAATGGCTTGTATGCTGCCAGCAGTTCCGCAGTTCGATTCTTACCAGATCAAGGTTGTCTTAGCCTTCCAACCTTCCAAGGTCAGTAAAATGAGGACCCAGATTGTTGGGGGCAATACGCTGACTCTGTAAATCGCTTAAAGAGGGCTGTAATGCACTGTGAAGCAGTATATAAGTGCCACTGCTATTGTATGGCTAACTTTGGGGCATGAGAAATCCTCTAATTCAGTTCAAGTAGATGCGAGTGAATGCTATTCAGTTACGTACTGTAGTGTACTGTATTGATCAATACCTGAAAAGCTAGTTGGCAGATGTATTCAATCCATTCGTTTGGTTGATCTGCTGCGAACAACCAGTTGCGTTCCAGCATGCACAAGTAGAAAGGCACTGTGTCCTTGGGGGAGCTCTGATCTTTAGCTCTTTCCACAGACACACAGTCCGAGAGGCGAATCACTTTACGTTCCCCTTTCCTCAGGGTTGCTTTTCCTGCTGCACCACCATCACGTGCTTCAAAGTACTCGAGACGGGCGACACCAAAGGAACTGTCAGCAAAAAGCTGGACCCATACTTTCCGCCAAGTCTTCTGTTGAATGGAGGCAAAGGAATGGGGGAATGAAGCAATCCAGGAAACAATCCAATTGCAGTCAAATATTTGCCACACACGAGGAAGAAATAAGAAAGTTAAGTTTTAAGTAGCTGCACAGAAACAGAAAAAAAGATAGGATTCTGCTGCTACTGAGCTACTCGGAGGAGTAGGAGCCAATGTATAGAATCACAAAAAGGCAAACATTTGTTTTTCATTAACCCATAGTCCCTTTGTGGCATTTATAATAAGCATAGAAAGTATTTGTACAATTGCCTCAGCTAGTATCAGGCCTAGGATTTAACGTCTTTGCTCCCTGAAATCATATATAAATGTAAATTTATTTCTTTTTAGAACAATTTTATTGGTAACATACAAAAAAATACAAAAATGTAGGAAAAACAGGGAAGGGAAAAGGGAAAGTGTGGAAAAGAGGGTGGGGAGGAGAAAAAAAAAGGCATTAACTTCCAACTCCATTTGGTGCAGTAGAATAGGATAATAATATCAAGCCACAACTTTTTACTTTAACATGATAGTTTGAAGTAGCCATTTCTTTAACAACAAATCCAACTGATCGGTAAAGCCCAAAATCAAAGTTTCGTTTTTTTCTACCTCAAGCACAAAGTCCAGGAAGCACTTTCCAGGTAGAAACAAAAGTATTCGGTTTTTTTCCCTTGATCAAAGCAGTCAACAGAAATGTAAATTTCTAATCCTTGTGGGATTCAAAAAAACTAGACTTGATCGTGAGTAATGGTTTCAGGGCCCTCTGCTATTATTTATTGGACCAGCTCATCATCAGCCAGTGCCTGTCCCTTCCTTTTTGACATTGCATTTCATAGTCTGAGATCAGTGATTGAGCAAGTAAAATATAGTAATTTCCATTATGCAATTTGTTCAAAAAAAGTCAGAGGAAGGTGTGTGCACTGCTTTTCCTAAGTGGATTTGTCTCTAAAACATAAAATACCCCAGATTCAATAGTCAGCTTTTCCAGACAAAATTAAAATCTGTCTAAATCTTACGAAACTGCTGTCTATCAGCATCAACAATTCTTGGCCAATGTAACTGTTCTGAGCTATTTTCTATACCCACCCACCTAATTTTTGACGCAACAGTTTAGAATCAGAGGATCTGATTCTAAGAGAAGTATAGGCTAAATGTCTGGAAATGATGGAAATACTGTTGAGGAGATGGGAAGCAGCAGATTTAGGAAGGCTGATATAAATATTTGGAAGATGAGGATTTTCATCATACTCACCCACACCAATTGGTGCTCCTTCTGTAAAATTCCTCAATGAATAGCAGTTATCAAAGGGATACACTGAGTCAATCATTGTTAAGCTATGGGTTGTTTAACGATGTTTTGTTCTAGACAGAATAGTTATCATGCCAAACCAAAGCATCAACTCATATTAGTTTTAGTATACTGTATGAGCTGCTTACTTCTGCGGAGCATGAAATGAGAAAGCTGTTAGAAACAGCATCTCAGTTAGCTATAAATTTAGCCAATTTTGGGTTAAGCAACAAGGCTAGAAATCAGGAGATTGTGAGTTCTAGTCCTGTCTTAGGCGTGAAAACTGGCGGGTGACTTTGGGCCAGTAACTCTTTCTCAGCACAACTCACCTCACAGGGTTGTTGTGGAGAAAACAGGAGGAAGGATTATTAGTATGTATTATTTTAAAAACAATAAACATGAGATAAAAAAATGTTTAAAAAATCTCCCAGAACTCTAGGTAACCCAATATAGAATCTCTGCATCATTTTAAAAACAAGAGTTAGATATGTAACATATTTTTCCACTAGTAGTAAAGGAATAATACGGAGGCCTGAAGGCCTCAGCCATTAGAGTGGTAACGGGATATTTTAGCCTATATCAATTTCCATGAAGTCAAATTTTTAGAGTGGTTACAATAAAACAAGAAAGCAACTTCAACTTGGCATTTAATTTTGCTTGCCAGCAGCCATTTCTCAAACTTCAAAGTACAATCAGAGATTAACAAAAGAAGGTTGAACTCTAGTTCCCTAATGTGTCAGTTGTCACCAGTAACCAAAATTGCCAGTTAGAAAGTCTTCAGTTGGTCTCACCCTTCCAGATGGATTTTGGCTTCATTGGCAACCACCAGGCTTAATGAGATAACATCATTGACACCATGAAAATACTTTCAAGAAATGCTAGACTATTAAAAGCCTGGTTATGGCTCCTTTTCAATCTGGGGGTGTCAACTGAAATCTGCCCGCCCTGGCCTATAAGGCAAGTGACTGAAAATGAGAGAATCACTGAACCATTTTGATTTTGTACCGGTGATTTCCCCACCCAACACTGCCAAATTTTACTTTTGGGAAGACTTTGATTGTACTTGCTAATGCAGTTGGCAGCTGCAAAACCAGAGCTGAGAAGAGATAGGAAACTGAAGAGGGTGAGGAATAGAATGAAGGGATCCAAACCTCCCTCCATCCCAGCCTCAACATGGGCGTCTCAAATTTTAAAATGTCTGAGCTTTCCCAAGTCTCCCCTACTTGGGAGACTCGGTACAAAGACCCTGGTCTTGGGTTTCTCCATTCAAAGGCATACCCTGCAAAGTAATTTTGTCCATATTCCTTTCAGAATGATTGTTTCAGGCCAATTTACCACATATTGCCGACAGACACATTTATGCTACGCTCCTTAATGTATACAGCATTTAGTTTTATTTGTCATTTGATTTAATCATATCCAGAAATGACAGAATACAGAACTGTACACTCACAATTCAATGTAACATTAAAGCAAGAGAATGGAACATAAATACCGGATAATCATAGCTACTGCAGGCTCTGCCTTTTATATGACCAAGGCTAACACCTTAAGCCTTAACAATGGAAAGTATAAAGAAAAATTTCCTTTGACAAGACAAACAAAATCCACAAATCCATTCACCTCTACCTTCAAGATTCTGTAGAATCAGCTTTCCCATTACAAGTGAGATACCACATTTACCTTCCCAAATTTGGGGTGCTGAACATACAGGAAGCCATCTTTCATAGGGTGCTCCATAGGAGTCAGATCCAAGCTAACAACCCAGTAAAGTGTGCGACAGAGACTGTCAAGATGATGAGCTCTTGTGGCTGCCCAAGAGATGAGTCAGTAAGTATGATAGTGCAGGCAACTTCCTCTGCCTGCTAACTTCCCCTTTGGGGCCTGCAAGCACGCAGAAAGTTATAACGGGCAAAAAGTCCCAAGAGAGACAGACTGTCCCAGGAGACAGTCAACCCAACAACTTTTAGCAGGCAAGAACAGCTCTTCTGCAGCTGCAGGAGCTGCCACCCAAAACAGAGCTGTTAGAAAAAGCAACATGGCTGGATATAAGATGGGTGGGGTCAAGGCAAGGCATAAATAAAATTATACAAACTGTTTTTATAGCGACCAGAAACTTAGTAGTAGAACGTGAACTACATACTGAGACTCTGACTCCTCATTATGGTCAAATGCTGAGGAGCGAGGCAATGTTTGCCCAGCACAAGTGACAATCTCTGATGCAACCAATTATTGCAACAATGGCCTGCTGCCCTCAAGAAAGAGCATACTGAACAGCTTAAAAACAAACAAGTGTTAAAAAAAGGATGGAGCATGCATTTAAAGAATGTACAACCCCAGATACCAAGGTGATGTGATTGACCCAAATTAGCACAAAATGTTCACATAGAAGGCAATGTGGGAGATAGGACAACCAAGCCTAGCACTTCACCTTGAGATAGGATCAATATTTACAACAGAAGCACTAAGATCCCAAATGGAAAAAAAAGTCCTCCTCTGCAGCCTGTTTCCTACTTCTATTGGCGATAGTTGTTCCAGGAACTGCAATGGAATTATTTCAGAAAAGATGCTTTTCCAAGGAAGGAAAAAAGGAGAAAAAAAACCACAGCAACCTATGCCTAGCCAAAAGGCAGAGTCAGTCTAGAAGTCCATGGAGCTGTGTGCCAAATAGTCTTTGCGTCCAATGTTGCTGACTTGTTTGGTCTGCATGGCTTCCAGCTTGGGGCAGTCGGTGATACGATGACCCAGTCCCCCACAGAAAGCACAGCCTCTTTCTCCTAGAAGTGAAAATACTGCATCAGTTAAAAGTTCAGATCACTGAAAAGTGACTACCACGTGGGAGGAGTAGAAAGACTGCCCAAGCAGCTCTCAGCCACAAGTCATGCCTGTCTTATTATAGCTGTAATGTGACTTAAAAACCTCCCGCACTTTGTGAAAAATGCACCTGACTGGCATCTAATTTGCATGGCAGTTATTTCTTTCTTTTCTTCCTGAGGCCACTGAGCAGATAAATCCTTCCATTTCTTTGAATAGCAGATGACCATAATTCCAATAGGCTTTCACCTCATGCAGCCATGCTGAAGGTTGAACTAACTGTAAAACTATTCTGGTCTCCCAGGTCCTTCCTCTCATCCTATTCTTTGCCAACCAACTACTTACCTCCAATATCCAACATGGATTCATCTCCACAGTGCAACACTTGAAGCACGGGAGGCACCTTCTGCTTGGCCTCCAGCAGCAGCGCCTTCAAATCCATGAGTACCGATTCATCTGGGGACCAAGAGACAAGTCATGCGGACAAAGGCCAATTTTTCAGATATATAGCATAAATGCATTTCAATTACAGTGAACAAGGGACAATGCCTACACAATAGCAATAGCATTTAGACAACTATACCGCTTTATGGTGTTTTACAGCCCCCTCTAAGTGGTTTACAGAGTCAGCATATTGCCCCCCAACAATTTGGCTCCTCATTTTACCCACCTTGGAAGGATGGAAGGCTGAATCAACCTTCAGCCTGCTGGGATTTGAACTGCCAAATTGTAGGCAGCTGGCTGCAGCAGAAGTAGCTTGCAGTACTGCACTCTAACCACTGTGCCACGGAGGCTCTATATAAGGTATATGTATCTATATCTCTGTAAGGTATCTCTCTACCCAAGCCACCCACTGACCATATTCCAGTTCCCCAGAATATTCTTTGTTGTTAATGATTCATTAGGAAGCATGACTGGATGAGCCCAGCTGACAAAAATATAATTAGTTGAATTCATTCATCCTTCACCCTCTTAGTTCCTCTGGTTCCATTCATTGCAGCCCAGCTTTTATGTCAGTTTCTCAGTTCCTTACCGCAGGCTTTGTTGATGAATGTGGTGGCAATGCCAGTATTCCCTGAGCGGCCTGTACGCCCAATCCGATGAACTGGGGAGGGGAAAAAAAAACAGACACAAATACCATTTTTAGCTAAAAGAAATAGGATTTGACGATGCTTGCTCACCAAAGCAAAATATAGTAGCCATGAGAAATTAGTATAAAAGCAGACCATTCCACTTCCCCATCACGTCAATTTAAGCCTGTCCAGTGGAAAAAAAATCCTGGAAAGTAGTTCCCACTCCTCATGAATAATGTATGATATGACACACTTTACATGTGAATATATATAGCGACATTTTTTTCTTTTTATGACTGTAATCCCTTTTATAGCAGTGGCATCGTGGCAACTGAATGGAGTTGAGCGTTCACATATGCATACAGATGGTTACATATACCAACCAAAAGCCACATTCCAAATAAAATCAGGGCCAGACTGCCCATACTAAATTAATTGAACTCATAAGCCACAGTTTCGTTAGTTGTGGGCAAAATAAGATACATTTCTCACATACATTCAAATTCCCCTTCCTCTTACAAAAGAAGCAGCAAAAAAAAAAGGAGAAAATAGGAACGAGCAAGAATACTGGAAAGGAAAACGAAAGGGGGAAGAAAACTAGATCTTTTGTATGAAAACAAAAGAAAGTAGACAGAGAAGCCACAAGTGTCCAATAATTCAAAGCGATATCGCACACATGATACTGTCACTCAAATAATCTGTATTATGAAACCTGCAAGCGGGGGGGGGGGGGGGGGGGGCTTCAGTCATGAGTGACTCATGGTTTGACTACTGCAACACACTGCCTGTGGGGCTGGCCCTGAAGACCACCCAGAAGGTGGCTCAAAAAGCAGTGGCATGAACAGTAACGGGCATGCCCATGTAATACGTCAGCTCTGTGAACACCATAGGCTGCAGGTTTACTTCTGGGTGTGATTTAAAACACTGGTTGTTATTCATAAAGCCCTACATGGTATAAGTCATACATCCACCTGTATCCCATAACCGATAAACTGGAGGCTTTTTTTTTTTTGACATGCTCCAGATTCCTTCAATTAAATCCGGTATAACCTATCAGAACCCCAGAAGCACATTTGCTGTGTAGCAGCACCTGCCTTTGGAGCAAAGTTTCCCCTGAGGCCCCCAATCTGGTATTGCTTAGAAGAGCCATGAAAACCTGGCTCTTCACTCAAGCCTTTGGCAAGGGAGAGTTAGACCCCTAGCTTCATCCCACTTGCCATCCTTTACCTTTAATCTTATCATTTTATTGAATTGATTGTCATTTCTTTGTTTGATTGATTTAAGCTGCATTGAGAGGCATTGAGAGTCAGGCAGCACATGAGGAATAAATTCTGATTATTCCAACAACCCAAGCCAGACCACAGGCAGTCCTCGACTTACAACCACTATGGAGCCCAACATTTCCACTGTTAAGTGAGACATTCGTTAAGTGAGTTTTGCCCCATATTACAGCCTTTCTTCCCAGAGCTGTTAAATGAAGTTCACTGCACTTGATCCCTTAGTAACCCGGTTGTCACGTGAGTCTTGACTTTGTTTGCCAGAAGGTCGCAAAAGGGGGAATCACATGACCTTGGGACACAGCCACGGTCATAAATATGAACCTGTTGCCAATCCTCTGAATTTTGATCACATGACCATGGGCTTTTGCTGCAAAGGTCTTAACTGTGAAAAAAAGGTCATAAGTCACTTTTCTCAGTGCCGTTGTAACTTTGAACGGCCACTAAATGAACTGTGGCAAGTCGTATACCCTCAAAACGATGCAGACGATGTCCCTTCACCCCTCTGCCTATGAGAAGCTCTGCTAGGTTCCAGAAAAAAGAATTCAAATTCACAAGCAACAGGGAGAAGCTTCGTTCCTTCCTAATCTTCGGGCATCCTCTCAGCAGCTGGTTTCTGTTGCTATTTGCATTTCCCAGGCATTCATTTGTTGGACCCCTGCCCAGCAACAAAGCTAAAAGATACAGTAGCAGGTGAAAAAAATCGATTAAGAGGGAAAGCTAGAAGGTGTCTCATATCCTATTTTAGCTGAACCCATTTTAGAACTCAGATACTGTATATATAAATAATTTCTGCAGCAGACCTGCAAGCCAAATTCTGCTGATTGATGGGTTTTTTTCACTCATTTTTTTAAATATTGCTTTTGTCACGGTGGATAAGTTCTGCAGACATTTAAGGATTCCAACACATGAACCCGGAAACCAAAAACCCCCCAGGAGTCCCTCTCTTTCATACCATAGTTTTCTATCTCTTCGGGCATGTCATAATTGATGACATGCTGGATGGCTGGGAAATCCAAGCCTTTGGAGGCAACATCTGTTGCAACAAGAACATCCTTTTTCCCATCCCGGAAAGCCTCAATAGCTTTTGTTCGCTCCTCTTGGTCTGTAAAATGAAGTAATGTGTTAAGGACAGCAGAAGGATCCCCCCAATATCCCTAATCCAGAAGCTTCCATTCTCTGTGAGCACGATTCACACTCTTGGAACAAGAGAGCCTTTATCTTCATGGACACTTTTATGAAACGATAAGAATAAACTGCTTTACTGGCCAAAGCTGGTTTAATAATTTGTTACAGGCAATATTGAAAATTCCCTAAAAGATCTGATAAAAGCTCCTGCTTGAATCTTCTTTTCTAGATCCTTTTCTAATCTTCACCATGCTTCATACCATGTGACTGCAATTCTGTGATATAAAAGAATGGCACTAGCACTTACATACCACTTCATAGTGCTTTACAGCCCTCTCTAAGCGGTTCACAGAATCTGCATATTGCCCCTAACAATCTGGGCCCTCATTTTACCCACCTTGAAAGGATGGACGGCTGAGTCAACCTAGAGCCTGGTGAGAATCGAACTGCTGAACTACTGGCAGCCGGCAGTCAGCAGAAGTAGTTTGCAGTACTGCACTCTAACCATTGTGCCACCACTACTCTCTAGCTGGCAGGAAGATACGTTTTTTAAAAAAATCTAATCTAACTATAGTGAAGTCAGAAAAAATTATCATATATCCAGTTTATGCTCTTTCAGATTACTGCGTTTTATGTCTGGGACCATAGAAGTACTTTCATTCAAAACCAAAGGGTTTTACAGACCTTTTCCACCATGTATGGCCACAGCCTCTACACCTTTGAGTAGTAAATATTCATGAATTGCATCTACATCTGCTTTTTTTTCAGCAAAAATAAGAACCTGCCAAAGAAAAAGAAAAAGAAGTGATGATTATACTACAGTCCCTTAATCAAAGGGAGACCCTACTTCAGAAATAAGATAGAATATAATGACAGAACAGCCAAAGAATCAGATTGTTCTCATGCAAAATACTACTTCCTTTCCTTTGACAAGTGCAAAAAACTTTGGGAGTGGTGAGATCAGATCAAATCAGGGTAAGTCTGAACTTACAGGTGGTGGAGTCTTCTGTAGACATTCAAGTAGATATACCATCTTAGCTTCCTCTTTCACATATTCTACTTCCTAGACAGAACGAGAGAGACAAAGTGAAAGATACTACAGAGAAGTCAGCACAGGGCGGCTCATTAGGGCTCAACAAATTAGTACCTTTGATGTATTGGGTATAGATATGAAAAACCAAGGTTGAGATTATGCATGAATAAAAACTAAATAGGATATAATGAATTATATAATGAATTAATTATGTAAGAATGAATTAACAGAACATTTTGAGACCTCTCCTACCCAACGCCCACAAACTAAAGAACTCACAGGCAGCTCACTATAATTTGGACTCCCTACGCAGTATAGTTTGAGGTACAAACAGAGCCAGGCTAATGAAGTGCTCTAAACTGGTGACATACCTGTATGACATCCAAACTGGCAGCTCCTGCGCGTCCAACATTGATTGTGATAGGCTTCACAAGGGCACTTTTTGCAAAATTCTGAATCTTTTTAGGCATGGTAGCACTGAAGAGAAGGGTCTGTCGCTGTCCCTAAAAGAAAGAGAGAACCACACATGGCAAATAAGCAATGACGGACAATTTGCTCTGCTGATGCCACACTGTAAAAATTCTGCTTCCAGGCCTGGCCACAGGATATATTTTACAGTATTTGCAAGCCTGAATAAACGCAGACCAACATTTGTACTGAGCAAGCAATTTAGAACACTGAGAATGTCATCTTTCATTTCTGAAAATTAAGTTTGAAAAGACATAAAATAATACCTTGGAAAACCTCACATGTTAGAAAGGAGGCAATAGAGGAAAGAGAAAACAATAGGTGGCAGAATTACTAATAGCCAGAAAAAAAGGGGCTTAGCGGCCCATGTAACTTTTTGGCTATGAACTAAGATGAATTATCTCAAGAGGCTGGATATAAATTAAATTTTATCCTATGTTCTCATAGAAGCTGGCTCTTTCTGATAATTGAGAAAGATGAATTTGTATGATAAGTAGCTGTTCACAATATATTATTCAAACATCTGTGCTTCTACCTACTCAGTGCCTGATTTCTAAAAAGAGCACATGTACCAGATTGCCAATCTGCCTCGCAATCTTTCCAATTAGTCTAATGTTCTGTCAGGATTATATAAGTTATAAGACCAACAAATGGAGACATCCAACACATAAATAAGATCCTAACAGGTGCAGATTAAATCTTACCTCTACTACTAGCCTAAAGCTTTTATCTAGACCACAAAAACACCACAGTTGTCATTAGCCACACATCCAGTACCAGAAAAGGCTGAGAGGAAAATAATCCTTTCAGTGAACCTAGGGTTCATTAGGATCAGGTTTGGAGCAAAATCTGTCCTCCTTAGTACCTTGAAGTAGGAAAAGATGGTGCGGATATCTCCTTCAAAACCCATATCAATCATCCTGTCAGCTTCATCCAAAGCCAGGTAGCGGCAGACATCCAGACCGACCATCTTTTTCTGCAACAGATCCATCAGACGGCCTGGGGTTGCCACCATCATGTGTACACCACTGTGAGAACAGAAGGGTTAGAACACTGGAGGGCGCCTTGTACTAGAAACGACAACAATAGCATAGAAAAAAAAATATTATTCCCTTGTGAAGCATCTGCATCTCACCACGGAAACCACATTTCATAAACGCGGTACCTACACAGACCTTGGCTACCGTTTATAGCTTCAGGGCCTCTAAGGGCCTTTCCTATTTTTACTACCGACAGGCAGCTCCTAAATTATGGGAACTATGCCACTGGAAGAGGGTCATTAAACAATGAAGTTTTCTTTCCTTCCCAGGGATATCATTCAAAATCCCTGCCAATAAGAGTGGGATAACCGGTAATTCTGTGCCACATAGGCTGCATAGTCCCTCTTTTCTCTTTTAAGCCATTCAGGTGAAACACAGCAAGCCAATGCAAGGGCAGGATGATACATGGGCATGGGCGTCCACGTGCATCACATCAACCCACTATTTTTTGCATGTAGAAATAACTGTGGTTTCCTCCCTTCAACAATGAAAATAAGAGGAGAGATTAATGTGGCTTTTGCTCTGGACTCCTAGCAAGCCAGTAATCAAATTTAGATATGTATGTAGGCAATATTGGTGAGGTATGAGATGCAGATCTTTTCAAAAGAGGAATTTCTGCAGCTGAAAAAGAACAGGCCCATCCTATTGACAAAAAAACCATAATCTTTTATACCGTGTAAGCAGAGGAAGAAAGTGATCAAGAAGCTAAATACTGCTATGCTTCCTTAACACCCAACACAAGAAAAATGTAGCCACTCTGCTTTAAGCAATGTTCTTCAAATGTCGCCCTTACTGCTTGATAGTCTCCATTTGTTCTTTCACAGACATGCCACCGATGCAGAGCGCACAGCGCAAGGCAGGCATCCCATCCTCGTGCAGCAGGCGGCAATAGTACTCCAGGATGCCATGGGTCTGTCGAGCCAGTTCCCGCTGTAGAAACAAAAACCTGATCAGCTAGGGACCGCTGTCACTAAGCCCATTTATTCTCCCCTCTTTCTCTTGGCCAAACCACTCCCCGGGCCAAACGCACGGGCGCAATGAAAGCCGGGTGACTTACAGAGGGGCAGATGATGAGCCCATATGGTCCTTCCCTTTTGGAAAATGGAAGCCTCTTTTCCTGCTCTAGGCAAAACATGATAACCGGGAGGGTGAACACAAGGGTCTTGCCGGAGCCAGTGAAGGCAATACCAATCATGTCTCTACCAGAAAGGCTGCGGAGGAAAACAAAGGAGCAGATGAAGCCCTTGCTGCAGCTGGAACAAACAGGGCGCCAAAAGCTGCTTTCAGGCGCACTAGCCAGGCAGGAGGAGAACTGAACTGCCACGCATGGCAGACTAGGAGAATACGGGTAATCCTCAATTTACGACCACAATTGAGCCCAACATTTCCGCTGCTAAGCGAGTCAGAGTTTTGCCCCATTTTACGACCTTTGTTGCCCCAGCTGTTAAGTGAATCATTGCAGTTGGTAAGTTAGTAAGCCGTCTGTCAAGTGACTTTGGCTTCCCCATTGGCTTTGCTTGTCAGAAAGTCACATAAGGGGGATCACATGACCCCGAGACACAGCAACGGCCACAAATATAAACCAGTTGCCAGTCATCTGAATTTTGATCATGTGACCATGGGGATGCTGAATTGGTCGTGTTTTCAGCACTGTTGTTAACTCTGAACAGTCACTCAATGTTGTAGATCGAGGACTACCTGTATGTTGAAAATTTACTGTTGTAAATCGAGGACTACCTGTATGTTGAAAAGTTGAGATCACTTGACTTTTAACCTCCAGATGCTGAAGGCCCCGTATAGATTCCTGTCAACCCTAAAGTCTGCCCTTTTCTGGTTTTTTTGATTACACAAATTTTTATTATAAACTAAGTCTGCCCTTGTCTGAATCCGGTGGAAGGCAAGAAATCTCAGAGTTTCTAGAGACCCGCAGGTTGCCTCCACTGCTTTATCTAATTAAGAAATTTATTTAAAATCATTTACAACTAGAAAGTATAAAGGAAACTGAAGAACTGACATTTTCAATATTTTATGTGTTAAGCTTATTTAGTTTACGAAATAAAAACTCCAGAGCATCTTAGTCTTAGTCTCTTTCTCTAATTTTGTCCACATTCTGCATGCTTTGATCCTTAATAAACAATTCCAAAATAATGTACAATTGACTCTTTTGCAGATCAACAATTCAGGGATTTTGTTGGACTTGATGCGATGTGTTATGGTGTTGGTGGTATCACCAATAACTTGTGACAGCAATAATTTTGACTGGTACACAAACTGTACTCTATCTAGAAAATGCCATATTTTGAATTAGCTTGGTGCATAAACTGTACCTTATCTAGAGAAAATTAAGCTTGCCTTAGGTTTAAATTGCCCTTGTTTCTTACAGACTATTTTAATATGTTTTACCATTAAAGACCGTTCAGAAAGTTCAGCTGATACAGAGTGTAACTTTTCAAATGCTGGGAAAGGGAGGAGGTGGCTGATGAAGAACCTATACACTGCAGGAATTATATTGCTTATTAATTTGGAGATCCAGTTTAAGATGTTGACAGTAGCCTTTGAAGACTTAGATTTCAGATCTGATTAAATATATGCACCTAAAGACACTAGATTATAGCAGGCAAACCCTGCTTTTCAAACCCTGCAATTCTGTATTATTCTAACTGCTTTTGATTTAATGCTTTCTTTTAAACTGCAGCAGCTTATTTATAATGGTTTGATGCAAGCCAATTCAAAATCTGGCATTAAGGCTTAGAGATGCTTGCAATGATAAATTTATTTAAATGATTTATATGGCCACCCATTCTGTGAGCATACAACAAAACCCATGAAAAACCAGGTGCCTAATTCATCATTTGGATTCATTCCTCTGTGTAATTTCCAGGCTCCAATCTTATTATCCCAAAGCCAACAATTTATCACTTTTGAGAAAACGAAGAGGGCCAAGCCCTGCCAGATTTTAAGGGGGCAGGATTGCAACAAATCACCTTGCAGCATCAAATTTCCCACATATTTATTGTTGTTAAAAACAGGTCTTAAGCAGAGACTTGACTTTGCCAATATCTGATAAAATGGACTCTGTCATCTAAACATCTCTGCCACAATAAAAACTACAAGATTTTAAAGTTCAGTTTCTTTATGGATTTACCATGGCAATGAGGGGAAAACAGAGAGCATAACTACTAAGAAAACTTCACATTCTTCGCAACACTCACATGGTAGGAATACCCTGTATCTGGATAGGAGTTGGCTGCAGGATCCCCTTCTTTTTCAAGCCTCGCAGAATTGCTGGAGGGAGAATTCGGTGACAGATTAGTAAACTGAGCTCAGTAAATCAGAAAACAGAGTTGTGTGCTTCCTGAAGGAGGATATTGAAGCAAGATAAGGTATTTTTCATGCTGATATTTAATAATGAGGCATTATCAAATCATTCCCACTTATCTTGTTGAATACGAATATAACATACATGTATAATTAGCTATTTCTAAAACATAGGTGAAAACAATGGTAGCAAACCAACCCCACCCAAAAAACCCACAACCTCATTCACAATAATTTAAAAAGTAATACAACATATGAATTTATTACTGAATTAGTTATAGCCTAGATTTGGGGAAATTGATCAAAGCATAAATTGAACTTATTATGAGGTGCTATATCCTGGCCACCTGATGGACCTTAAAGGAGAAGGTTAACTCCACTGTTTCCAGTTAGAAGGCAGGACTAAAACACCTCCATTCTATGGAGGTCGTCCATTCCACACAGTTGCTTACTGATTTCAATTACAAGAGCCACCAGTTCCACAACTTGATAATACTGCACAGCAAGGAATATTTAATTACAATTAACAAGCTAAAAAAAGAGATCATAAACTGCATGTCCAATGGCAAAGACCTTTTTCAGTAAATTATAAAATCTTTATGCCTAGACATTATTCCTCAGAACAAATCTGAAGGATTGGTTTGCTTAAAGAGGTAGAAAAGCCAGGTCTTAACTGCTCTTCTGAAATCTGGGAAGGAAGAAACAGATCAGATCTGTGTAACACCATAAACAATTCATTTTCTAAGCTTAGTCAAATAGCATTTTCAAACAGCCAAGTTCTAGAGCTGATTGGTTCAATCTGATTCGATAGGCAGGTGAATAAAAAACAGATAACGAGGTAGGTATGGAGCAGGTGTGTCAAACATATGGCCCATGGGTCGCATACAGCTGTGCAGACCATGCCCATCCCTGCTCCGCAAGGGCAAAAACAATCCCAATACGTCACGATACGGCCTACAATGCGATCAAGTTTGGCACCCCTGGTATAAAGGTGATAATCAGCACCCTGATACGTTTATACCAAGAAGCCAATTGGCAGCTAATGCAATTCCCAAAACACTAGGGTTACTTAAGCATAGTGGGAAATACATGTCACTGCCCTGGTGATCCATTTTACACCAGCTGTAGTTCCAAAGGCTTTTCAAGATCAACCTCATGTAGAGTGCATTATAGTGCAATAAGGCAAAAGGGGAAGTGACTAGGACATGAGTGATTCCAAGTAGGATTCCCCAGTCCAGAAATAGTTGCAATTGGCAGACAAGACAGAGCTGTACTGAATCTTTGAGTGAAAAATTGCCACTGATTCTTTGAGCGAAAGCTATAGCTAGGTGAATCCCCAAGTTGCAGACTACCTTTTGGATGGAGCAGAAGCCTGCTCTCCACCTCCCCCTTTCACTGGTGGAGTATGCTTTTCTGTAGCCATTGTCCGTCCAAATTAACGTAGGGTTCCTTTCCCTCGGCCTTCCAATGCTAGCCACCCTGCCTCAGCTTGCTGGGAAGACATGGCTCTTCCCTGGATCAGGTCATGAGATGAATGACTGATCTCCCAAACCCAGCAGGCTGGAACCCTTGATGATTTGGTCCTTCTAGGGTTCTCCAAGGGCATTCCTCTTGACAAATGGTCCATGTTAATCAAAACCAAGAGGAGGTGACCATAGGCAGTCCTCAACTTACAACAGTTCACTTGGTGGCCGTTTGAAGTTACAACAGCAGTAAAAACTGACTCATGATCGTTTTTCACACTTATGACTGCTACAGTATCCCCATGATCATGTGATAAATTCAGACACTTGGAAACTGACTCATATTTATGACGGTTGTAGTGTCCCTGGGTCATGTGTTCACCTTTTCATGACCTTCGGACAAACAAAATCAATAGGTAAGCCAGATTCACTTAACAACCATGTTACTAACTTAACTGCAGTGATTCACTTTACAGCTGTGGCAAGAAGGGTTGTAAAATGGGGTAAGACAACGGTCTCACTTAGCAACAGAAATTTTAGGCTCAATTATGGTTGCAAGTCGAGGACTACCCGTGCTATGATTGTGACCTACAGAATTAAACTTGTCCTTCAAATAGTACATTTCTGAAACACAAATAGAAACCATTCTGGTAGGTAGTCGTACATATGATTGAATCCAAGGAATTGAGTTCTGGGTCATAATCACAATTCCTTATATCCTTGCAAAGGCCACAATAAAGTGCTTCCTGAATGGAAGTATTTCCCAATTTGCAGCGTGAATTCATCATACTCTTGAAACATAAATATTATTTTCACTGGTTGTTGTGCACACTCCCCCCTATACAACATCCAGCTAGAATGCTAGAGAGAGAATTTTCCCAAATCACCATCAACTCTAATTTATACAACGTAAGATGATCTGAACTGTGTTCTTCTTTGCTCTGTGAGAGGAAGCTCTGAATAGTGAACCACCCCAATAAGTATAGGTATGAATCTCTTGGTCCTCACACTTCTGATTAGGGTGATGATTAACTTTTCAAAGATTTCTGGGGCTGAAGCAGGTCAAATGGAAACGGCCAAAGTTGAAACAATGCTGAGAAACATGTAGTGATTCACCCTAACAGAGATGTGAAGGTATGCATTAGACAGGTTTATGGGAGCCAGGAAATGTCTTCATTTGGAATATAGTGTGTTTAATCAATCTGTTCCAATTTTAAAAGCCCTCTAAATCTATTTGCTTTGGGATTATGAACAATACCAAGAAAAGGCCAGTACAGTAAATCACTCATGCTGATGCACCTGCTCAATTATTTGAATGCTCAGCAGATGAGCCAGACAGACCAATATCTTTCAATGTAATTCTGATTTCCTGGATGTTGGTGATGGTAGAAATCTAATTATTAATTTGAGTTCCAAAGCATGTCTCCACTTGATCCAAGCATCAACTGTTGTCCAAAAATGGGATGGGCATTTGCCCATTTATTGTTCTCTGACATCAATTTTATGTTATTTTCTGTTACGGCTAGAATCATTTGACATCATTAAAATGCCTGCCTTGTAGATCCTGTTGACCCCAGCCACTGCTTTCTTAGCCATTTCCAAAATCAAAAAAAAAAAAACAAACCCTAGAAGTGTTCTCCGATGGCATCTGCTTTTTTTCCTATTTACTTGAAAGTAGATACTTTATATTTTTAATCTCTACCAGCACCGTGTCAGTGAACTCGCCAAACAACTTCTTGCTCTTGAAGGGCTTTAATGTCACATTTGCCCTCGACTGGCAGTCAACTTGCCAATGCCTGACCTACAACCCTAGATGAGCAGTCCCCCATGGTGCTATTGAGCAGTCCTAAAGTTACGATGACAACGGGAACCAGAAATTCCACTACTGAGGTCATAAAACATGATGTCACATGACTATATTGCTTAGCAATCCTGGTTGCCAACATAACCCCAGGACCGTGCTGATCTTTAAGTGGGAAGTGATGGCAGTACCAGGTGAGGAGTGCTGCAAGAAGTAAGGATGCCACGGAATTCCTAGCATTTGAACACAGATTTTTAAATGATATGTGAGTTCAATTACCATAACTCTTGAAGCAATAGAGATATTTATCAATACTCTAACCTCCAAGGAACCTGCTTTAGAACTCTTTTCAACACTGCCTGCCCTACGTTCTGTACTGTGCTCTGTGAGAATCTCATCCCCTCTTCTCTGGAAAGAGATGAGAGCTGCCACATGTTTATGCACGGATGGAGTAATGAAGTAACAAAGTTCCATTGTCTCTTGTGGAAATGTGTATAATTTATTGAGTCTATCATCTGCACCTCTGTAACTGTCTGGTTTGGTTCTGCAACCCAACAGGACAGACACAGACTTCAGAGGATGATTAGGACTGCAGAAAAAACAATTACTAATAACCTGCCTTCAGTTGAGGACCTCTATACTGCACAAGTCAAAAAGAAGGCTATGAAAATATTTACAGACCCGTCACATCCCGGACATAAACTGTTTCAACTCCTTCCCTCAAAATGACGCTATAGAGCACTGCACAGAACAACTAGACACAAGGACAGTTTTTTCCCCAAAGCCATCACTCTACTAAACAAATAATTCCCTCAACACTGTTCAACTATTACAAAGTCTGCACTACTATTACTGTTAATCTTCTTATCACTCCTTATCACCCATCCTCTCCCACTTGTGATTGTAGGACTGTAACTTTGTCACTTTATCCTTACGATTTATATTGACTGTTTCCTAGTATGATCTGATTGCTTATTGGAACCTTTGACTATCATTAAGTGTCGTACTTTATAATTCTTGACTCTTAACGAATGTATCTTTTATGTATACTGAAAGTATTTACACCAAATCAAATTCCTTGTGTGTCCAATCACACTTGGCCAATAAAGTACTCTGTTCTGTTCTGTTCTATTCTGTTCTATTAGCTGTGGAAGGAAGTGCCTTGTGATTAAATAAACACCTTAGCTCAAATATATTGACTGACTGCTGGGGAAGCCTTATATAACAGAAATATAATTTATTTGGGAAAATATAAAAGGTCTGGAACATTTTGCAAATTAAGATAACTGAGTCTTGATCCAAAGATTGTACATGTTTGAAGGCTTTACCACATTACAGAAGTGCTAATTTATTTGTTTTTCTAAGTAAAGCAAGTATATATGCCTCACAATCTGAACACTCAAATCAAATTTGAAACCAATAGCCTGGATACTTACCAGCTGGGAACTTCATCTCTTTGAAACTTTTGAGAGGAGGTGGAATTCCTTCCCCTTCCACAAGGATATGGTATTTTTTACGGACACGGTCATGCCTTGCTTCTGACATAGTTAGGATATACCGGGGAGCCTTCCAGCTGGTGCAGAAATACAGAAAAACGTTGTTCATTATGATTATTATTTCTGATTATACTGATTGTTTCATTTTAAAATTTCTGCCATGATGTTTTAAGCAGAAATTGTTAAACAGAGTGTCTGTTCTCCTAACAAGCGAACGTCAACTGCAAATTTCAGACGTTTCTTTGTAAACAACTGGACAGAAGATTTGATACAGAGCAAAACCACCTATTTTATATCCAACCTGCATGAACACCATGGCTATAATCTTAACCCTAACCCTAACCCACCTATCTATGTAAGTAGACAAAGGCACATGCAAAAGTTAATTATTTCAAGGGAGAATCTCAAGATAAGAGACACTTATGCACTTTAACACAAATAAATGTTATAGAGAAATGTTTGTCATATTTTGAAAAGGATCTTGTACAACCAGAGTACATCTACCTGGTTTTAATTGGATCGTCGTATGTGATGCCCTTTGCCATTTCCTTCACAGACATCAGAGCTATACAAGAAAAAGACAACAGTCAGCAGCCATGAAAAAATAATAGCAACCTATTGGAATATTGCCTTATCTCAGGCAATAGCAACAGAAGGCTAAAGTTCCTGGGAAGCACTCAGGATTTACAGTACATGTATGGAAAACCTTCTGCAATTGTTCTGCAATTTTGGCATGAATCTAGAACATATATGTTTCAGGCAGTGGAGTTTCAGAGTGATAAAAGGGAAAGTCAGCACAAGTTACAGTACATAGAAGCTAAACTGAAATAAGGGAATCAAAGGCACAGAAAATGGGGGTAGGCATAGCAGTGGAGACACAGGAAAGGAAGGTGAAGGAGGATCAAGTGAGAAGACCCACTAGACAAGGTGCATCAGCCCTGTCCTCCTGCAAGACCCCTCTAGGTGTGTCTCAGCCAAAACTTGGAATAACTAAGATGTTATGGGTTTCCAGAATGGGCCATCCAAACACCTGAGCCTTAACATACTTCTTCTACTCATGGGACATAATGCATGTTTTGTTACATGTTCAAAATTAACTGTTATTTCCCAGTTATCCCAATTTTGCCATTTTTTGTAACTTCAACACCATTTTACCAAGTACTAAAGCTATTTGAAAAAAAATATTTTTTTTGCTCTTTACCTCGTCCTTCTGCCACACTTTCCAGGATCTTTTCTTCTTCTTTAAGCTGTTTCTCTTTAGCTGACTCTTTACGTGCTGGGAAGAGTAACATATCAGATAGTTAGCCCAAAATCTTCTCTCTACTAATAAATCAAACCTAGTATGTTGATTGTTTACCTTCTGCCTTCTCTTTGAGGTGCTGGTGCTGATCCAAAAGGCTGATGTTAGACTGAGGGCCCAGGGGAATGTCATCTTCATCACCATGATAATCGCTGCCGCTGTCCCTTTGTTCCTCCTCCAGCGCCCCTTTGCGACGAATCTGCAGCAACTTTTGCAACTAGAGGCATAAAGTTGTGAGCTGAGAATTCCATTAGAGGCAGGTTTAACTACTATTGCCTTTGCAGACACAGATCTTGTATTTGTTAGAACCCTCTGAGATTTGTATCCTCAACTGTTTCTCAATGAAACTCACCTCGTCAATATGTATCTAACCTATTCAATTCTGCCTATTTCTAGGCTAATTTTAAATAGTCAGGTTTTATTTTTATTTTGCACAGCAAATATGAAAATTATTTTCAGATATTAAAAGAGTCGGAATCAAGGGGAATGAGAATCTAAGCTCATATAGTCATTTAGAGTACTGTATTCAAATTCTCACAAAGTGCAAAAATTATTCCAAGGTTCTTATACCATAGCGTTTTGGAGATGCGTTTTATAGAACTGGTTAACGTAGCTGGCGTATTTCCCCAAAATAAATCTGAATGTCCACAGAAAAGAAAATGAAAATAACCATATGATGTACAGTTGTGGGAACTAGATATGTCTAGTCTAATGAAGAGAAGGATTAAGAGCAACATAATAGCAGTCTTCCAATACTGGAGGAGCTGTCACAGAGAAGATCTATCTGTTCTCCAAAGCATCTGAGGGCAGGACCAGAAGTAACAGGTGAAAAATTATTAAGAGATATCCAACCTAAAATTAAGGAAATATTTCCTGACAGTAAAAATAACTTGCTCCAGAAGTTGTGGGTTCTCCTTCACTGGAAGTTTTCAAGAAGAGGTTGGACAACCAAATGTCTGCAATAGTATAGGGTCTCCTGCTCAAGCAGGGAGTTGGAACAGAAGACTTCCAAAGTCCCTCCCAACCCTGTTATTCTATGTATACAGTCAGAGAAGTTCCACTCTTGGTGAAAATCAAACATATACTTTACAATGAGAATTTCATAACTACACTAGTACTATGATAATCAGAGGCAGAATTATACCAAACCATCAGTGGTAGAGAACATGAATAGAATGTTACAGTTATCATGATTTAAATGACATCTAGATAATGATGCCACCTGACTCTAGGATTCTGGGTGGTTGTTAATTCTTAAACAGGCCACAATACTAAATTAGTATTTCTTTGGAACTATCAGGGTTTTTGTTATGAAACTGTCAGGGCTTTTGCCTACGTGGGATAATAGCAGCACCAAAATTATATTCAAAATAAATTACAAAAATGTTTAACACTATGCTGCAATTAATTCAAGCCTTGGTATTTATTGCTATAGGTGTATTTAGTGCAACCTCTCAAAACTGGGTGACATTAATATCTTGCACTACTATACTGTACACAGAATTGTTGCTGCCTTACAAAGCAGGTTCATTCAAAAGGCTAATTAAATACAGAATTGCAGTTCTGCAGATAGTACTTGGATCTTAGTTCTTGAAGTATATTCCCCATTAATTACTGTTCTTTATATCACCCAGTATGCTCTTTACTAACTAAACATTACGCTGACTGAGTCGTAGGAGACTTGCTCCAAGTATTCCTGAGCAACAATTCTCAATCACCAATCATTAAGCACAGCTTTAAGGTAGGGTGATTTGGAATTCAACATCAGATGAGCTACAGGCTTCCCATATCTGATTTAGCTACTGAGCACAAAACAAAAAAGTTAGTGTTAAGTGAGCCACATTTAATAATATTTTAATAATGTCAGTACTTACTACAGCTACTATAGATCTTATAAAAGTGACAAAAAGAAGAACCTATTAGATCTACAGTATCACAGCCAGATTACATTTATCTGCATTTCCTGACTCCCTTTTCATTCATTTGTATCTGATTTTCATAGATGGCCTGGAAAAGTCCTTGCAGGGTTGTTTTTTCCCCTTCAAGGTTAGCAGAAGTGGTTTACCACTGCATACTTCCTGAGGCAATTGACTATTGACTAGGCCAGGGTCACTTAGCTTTGTGCCTAAGGCAGGACCAGAACTCACAATCTCCTGGTTTCTAGCCTGATGTCTTAACCGCTACACCAAAGTGGCTCTCATTTACTGGCTTACTGCGCAACAGTTTATAAGATTATCCAAGGCAGGGATTTTCAATCTTTTGAATCTAAATCAAGATCAGCTATGCCCTTTTGGGCTAGGCAAAGCACTACAAAGCATTATGCAAAATGATTCTATCAACTCTCACCAGCCACTCTATCAAACACACTGGATCCCACCACAATAGAAACAAAAAAGCTACTTTTCTCAAAAGAAAATGGGTATGTTCACGGGCATTCTTCTAAATATATTTATCATTTTGTTAAAAGCTTAACTACAAGTGCCAGTGCCTTTTCTGATAAACCACCCAACGTATTTCTGAGTCTCACTCATTTCCCACAGACTCCAGTGGGGAACCACTGACCTAGGGGTCCCTTCTTCTGTTGTCCCAAAAACATACAACTAGCTGCGGAGAGCTAAAGATTGGGACCCACAGGGCAACCAGTAGAAAAGGGGATGCAGAAACAAGTGCGCCGACCCTAACTAAGAAGGCCCTAGATTGGGGTCTCCAAAGATTTGTGGACTTCAACTCCCAGAATTTTCCAGCCAGCTGGGAGTTGAAGTCCACAAGTCTTGCTAAGTTTGGAGTCCTCTGCGCCTAGAAAACCCTCGATAAATAAGGATGCATAGGATCGGGTCACAGGCCCCCAGCGAGGAGGCAGCAACAAGCGGTGTCCGCTAATGGCTCCCGCCGCCCCGTGCCAACCTGCCCCACGTTACCAGCTCCTGCTTGCGCTGCTTGAGTGGCACATAAGGCTGGTAGTCTTCGTCTGCGTCATCCTCCTCCTCCTCCTCGACCTCTCCTTTCACTCTTTCTTCTTTTTCGTCGTCGTCGTCGTATTCTTCTTCTTCTCCAGACAGGCCCGACGCTTCCGATTCTGGCTCGTGCTGCCTCTGAGACGGGTTACGAGAAAAGAGTCAATCGACCGGCATTTCCCCCAACCGTTCCCGGGATCTCGCCGGCCCGATGCGGCCTTACCTTCCTACTACTTCCGGTCTCCATGTTTTCAAACTACTCCGCTCTCTTGACCTTCCGCGCGTGGGGGCACGCACTCGTATCCAATGAGGGGGAAAGTTACCGTTGCTTAGCAACAGCAGCCGGGCCTACAATAAAATTCTCGCGACGAGAACGGATGTGCGACCGGCGGAAGCATAAACTGCGGGAAGGCGAAGCGGAAGTCCGGTCTGGGACCGTCGGGCGCAGAAGAGCGCGCCTAGAACGTTGTCGATTACACGCCGCTAACCTTAGTTGGCGCTAGTAGCTTGGATTCGCTTTTGCGACTTCTGTAGTAGTTTCCGGCGAGAAGGAGCCCCATTCTGGGGTGTGGAGGCTTGATGCTCTCTGAGCTGGCTTGTTTTCATGCAGACGTTTCATTTCGCGTCACTGATGATGTTTCCTAGTTCGGGTAATGAAACGTCTGCAAGAAAACAAGCCAGCTCAGAGAGCACCAAGGACCCCTCATGTGCAACTCAGAGCTACAAATATTCTCTTTTATTGGTCCCATTCTGTGTGGCTGGAGTCGCCGCTGAATCAGCAGATGGAGGGTTGTGCTTCTGGACTGCCACTTGGTGAGGGTTGGACTAGATGACCTACAAGGCCCCTTCCAACTCTCATTATTCTGCTTCTCCCTGAGTTAGGGCAGCAAGACTATCCTACCCCGCTTGGAAAATGTGGAGCTTCTTTTTCTAAATCTTAGCCTGATGCTACGTGTGCTTTCTTGGCTCTGGGCGTGCAGAATAAATTACTTTTAAAGTGTTGTTTCATCAAAGTTGGGCTTTATTTTTAGGCTGAGTTTGATTCTTGAAGCTGCTTCGTTAGCGGTGGGTGATTCTAGTAAATTGCCATTCGTTTCTTAGAAACCGTTTGCTTTTAAACCACCTGTGTGGATATCCCTTTGGTTCCAATAGATTTTTGCACCCTGCGGAATTTGTGATACCATGACAATTCAGGGTTATGTGTATGTACATATTCCAGTTGTCTGTGCTGTTGAGATACAAGTATTGGCGTTTCAAACAATAGCATCCCTTGATTTGTTCTGAGATTGTGTATTAATATTGTAGTATAATATGAAAAGGAGTACTAATCTAATAAAATGTAAAATTAAGAAATAAATGCCCCTGCATTTTACAACTGATCCAGAATTTAGCAAACAACCAATGCATAATTAAATAGAATAACAAATGGTAAGCATTCAACAGATTCAGAAAAAATAAGAGAAACACATATTTTTATACATTAAATAAACAGTAGAAAATCTGAAAAAGCAATCCCTGGTGATCACTCTCTTCATTACCAATTTTCATGTATGTGTCAAAACCCTAATTCATAGATTGAATCCTGCTTTGATTATCGACTTTTCTTCCTAATGTTTTTCCCATAATTGCAGGGTCTGCTTTTTTTCTGGATCAACCAAGTATTCATTGCCTTAACCACTAGACCAGTTCTGGCTCTAGGACAGACAGATGCACATGCATGCAATTGTTAGTCATTTGCTTCTGTGTCATATTGTTGAACAACCCAAGCATTCTCTTGACTAACTATTGAAAAGTGGGAGTACTACTATACACTCCCATTTTTGGAGGGCAATCGTCTTTATAGTCATAGAAAATAGCTGTACAGCAGTGGTAGTCAACCTGGTCCCTACCACCCACTAGTGGGCGTTCCAGCTTTCATGGTGGGTGGTAGGGGTTTTGTCCCCTACTTTATAAATCACCATTACTGTGGAACCGGTGGGCGGTTAGAGAAAATTTACTGCTACCAGAGATACAAAAGTGGGCGGTAGGTATAAAAAGGTTGACTACCCCTGCTGTACAGGAACACTTCTTATACAGTAAAGTCTTTCCTAAATTTAAAAACAAAGCATCCATTTCTACTCTGTAATTCATGATTGAATTCTTTCAATCCCCACTGTATGGAATGAACCAGTGAAGAAACTCAAAGTCAGTTTTCTAAAATTATGTAATATTCTGGAACATCATAAATGATAAGCTTAAAACAATAGAAGTAAATGGATGAGAAATATATCTGAAATATCTGCAGTTTTCAGACACAGATCCATGATGGATCAGACAAGATGGGCATTCAGTAGATGGTATTAAAACAAACAAAAAGGATCATTCCAAGGATATTTCAGCCATGACAAAACTATTTGTTGATGCAGTTTTAGAACTCTGATGTGTAGGGTTTTGAATTGTCAAATTAAAAGTAGATACGGAAATTGTTTGGGGAGAATTTCTTATCCAGTTCTACCATTATTGTGTAAATTGTCCAAGTTTTCTCTTTGCTGTACATTACATTATTTCAGCACTTCCCTGGATTAAAATTATTAGTCCAGGGAAGTGCTGAAATAATATAATACAGCAAAGTTTCACTTTTAAACAACCCACTATTGAAGAATCACTAATTAAATTCAATACTTTAAAGATATGTGCATTGTTAGAAGAAATATCCTTCTGGGTTCAGTTCCAAGTGGGGAAAAAGGAAACACGGAGGCTGTTTAGAAGGTTTAAAATCACATGGCCTGGAGCTCCAGAGTGAAAAGGAAAGATGATCACATGCTTCAAGGTGAAGGAAGAGATCAAGAAAGGGGCTGAGGTGCTGAGAGTGCCTGGGTTTTATAACCTTTGTTGGGATTTGAATTGGAGCTTGTTTCTAATTGGTTGTCAGACTCCCATGTAGCCATGCGGGGGCAACTCTGTAGGCTGTCCTGAGTTCCAGGCTTGGTTGAGCCTTGCTGGATGATGCACTGAAAGGGCTTTGGGCAATTGCTATAGTTTTACCTGGAGATCTTTGTTATGTAAAGTATTCTGACCCATGCCTTAATGGCTCACCCATTAACAAAGGTGGGGGTGAGTTTCTACTTCTGAGGTGAATTCCTGCTTCTGAGTTTCTACTCTTTTTAGGGGAAATATTCTGCCTTTTTATTATTTCCTAGATATTTCAATTTTCTAGGATAGGAGTGGGTGCTAACTTCCTACAGCATAAAGCCCTATATGACCATTTTGCCATATAGCTAAAAGCTGACTAATAACCTGATTTCAAAATTATTGGAAGTAAATTTTACAAAACTCAAGCCAATTTTTGTAGTCACAGAAATCATTAATACAAAATATTTCCACCACCATGCTTTATAGCTGCCATCAGGTTCTTCTGGTGAGATGGTGTTTCTGGTTTTGGTCAAACATGCAGTATTTTGGTACTGTGGCCAAATAAATCTTTGCTTCATCTGTCGGAGCACATTATTCCACAAATCCTGGCCTTTGCCTAGCTATTGCATAAGTAACTATATGCTCTGCCTAAGAATGACATAGAATAATTGAAACTTCAGCCAAAGTTCAGTTCTTTATTTGCTTGTACCAAATAGACAGAATCTTGCCAGACTAAACCTATACTACTCTCACCCTTAATCGATATAACCTGGGAACTTCAAGGAAGTGGTTGTCTAGCTCTCTTCTCTTGTTTCTGATCCAGCTCTTGCATGTTATCTTGTTTCATCCTACTCCTTGGAATGTGTTCCTTCTTTCCTGGGAAACTGCTCTTTCACTGTAGTGTAGTCCAACGGATATATCTCTCTTCATAGGCACAGACTGTCACAGTGACCTTTAACTTTGCCCCATTCTTTCTGGGCAGCAGAAGGTACACCTTCCATGTAGATCTAATTTATGCAACTTCTTTCTAAAGGTTCAGTCATGCACTTGGACATCAGTAATGTTGAGAGCTACCAACAAGTTACAGGATATTTCTGTGGTTCTTAGAGAATTCTTTTAGCATTGTGTGTTCTGCTCTTGCAGAAGGCCTGGCCTGAGCAAATTGGCATTTGTTTTAAATCTCTATTGTAGATTTTCCAGGCAATGGAATAATTGTTGTTGAATCATTTGACAATCTTTTTAAATCCCTTCCCAGACTCGTAGGCATTTATAAACTCATTGGAGCCACAAAGAGTTTTCAGTCTAGTCATGGTGATTTCAAACACTCTAATAACATAGAGTAAATCCAACTAAACACCTGAGGTTTAAATAAGACTCCCAGATCCTTTGTACTGTTATTTTTAAAACACTTACACTTGATATGGTGCTCCGGATCCTAATTTTAGTTATTTGAGATTGTGATAGATAATAAGGGTGTACTTACTTTTTGCAAATCTGAAATTTGCATTTATCTTTATCTAAATTAAACAATTGACCATACAATGTAAATGGCATGTGACATTTATTTTATTTTTTATCTTGCAATAGGATTGAAATGACCAAATAATCTTGTCTGTTAAAATATTTTAAAAATTTGAATGGGGTGGACTTAAGTTTTTCACATGACTATGCATGAAATCTTTGGGTGAATTCTTATATTCATTTTGAATGAGATGACATCAATATACAGATGACACCCTACTATTTTTTAATTGTGTCCTAGCATTATAATTTATTTCTTGAATCAGAGCTGATAATGCATATTGCATTCTCATAATAATCACTTGTATAATTCTGGATTTTACAGGTAATCCTCGGTTATTAACGACAATGGAGACTGGCAACTTGATTGTTAAGCAAAGCAGTTTGCTTAATTTTACTTCAGCTTTGTTTTACAGAACTGTGTCCATGAAGGTCCTAAATGCAGGGTTTGGTCTCAAATTTAAATTTTTATCACTATGTGAAGCAGTAGCTAAACAAAGATTATATATATATATTCAGATTTCTGAAGCACAAGGTATTTTAATAAGCTTCTTCTGTAGATTGGTACATTAGTCTATTACTGATTCTTTAATTACATCCATATTATGTGATAAATACAGGATGTCTTAATATCAATTTTAAAGGTCAGATGCTTCAGTATACATTTGCTATATTCCAAGTACATTTCTAAGCCTAATTTAAAGTATTTTCTTTAAAAACCAGAATGGTCTAAAATATCTATCAAGTCCTTTCTTTGTGTTCAGAAATTTGGTGCCATCACAGGACTTCTGGTTTGAGCTTCTTCAGCGACAGACCAAAACCTCGTGTCTGCGAGGCTTCAATGTGTGCTCGCCGCTGGAGCACCCCGAGCCGGCTGGTTTCAGGGCTAAGCCACCCCGT